TGATATTTTTCATTGAGTTCTGAGTTACTCATTTGGATTCCTTCCTGTACCTGACCATGTTTCTAGGTACCATTAAAAACAGTGATAAAATTTACCGCCCATATTTCAGTTCCTTGAAAAGAAAAACTGAATTATGTGTGCATTACAAGCAAGAGACCAAAGGGTTAATCAGAAAAGAAATAATTTTCACATAAAGTGATCTTTCTTTCCTTTTTTTTTTTTTTATTGTAAGCTCAGAGAGGATTGTAGCAATACAGGTTGAGCAATTTTCTTTTTTATGAATCCTGTGCTCAATTTATGAAAGCCATTTTGCAACCTATTTACATGCAGTAAACCTTTAAGGCTTTAAGTTTCTGTCATTTACCTTGATCATGATGATTTATAGTCCCTTTAGAAAGGCCCTTTACTGGCTCAGCACAGTGCAGGAGTACCATGAGGCAGCTTTCCACCAAGCCTTTAAAGCCTCGAGGTAAGAGAGGGCAAGGCCAGCCTTGCATCCGATTATGAGGCAAGGGGTATCATGTGATGGCAAAGAGAAAGTGGCTGAAGTAAGGAGCCTTGGATTCAAAACCAACTCTATCCTTCTACTATGTCATTCTGGTCATTTATGCTCCTATGCCGTCAAGTTGCTCACTTGTAGAAAGGGAGTGTTGTGCTCATCAAGACCATAAAGTAGGTTTAACTTGGGTACTCTAGGTACAAAATAAAGCAGAAGAGGACTTTTTTTTTTAATATTTAAATGTATAATGTAAATGATAAATTGCTGAAAGGGAATGGCGTGTCTAATATGAAATCCTTCTTAATAATATACTATGTTCCCCTGCTCCAGGCCACATGAACACATATACCAAAAACAGGGACCTTTGTAACTCCTACAATAGACACTCAATTAAGTACTTGTTATATTAATGAAAAAATAAGTTTTCTAGTTGAAAATCGCTTTAGCATGTACAGAATACAAGACAAATAATATATTCTTCCAAGTCTCAAGGAACCTGTAGTTTAGTTAACATGTTGAGTCATAAGTCCATAGACAGCCAGTATGCATTAATTGTGATTCCAGACAAGAAAAAAAGGTGTAGTATAAAAAGAGGGATTCAGCAGGAACCACTCCTCCTCCTAACACTGGGTAGACTGAGGTGACTCCTGCCTCACTCCTGCAGTCCCATGCACTCTGCACCAGTCCCTGTTCCACCAGAACGAAATGCTCACTCAGATGGAATGGATTGAAATGCATCTGTTGAAGAGGATTGTAGGGATGCATGCAGAATGGTGAGAACCAGAAAGAGATACCCAAACACAAGCAGGAGGCACTACCAGCCTGCTAGATGCAGGGCCAGGTGGAAGACAGGAAGGGAGTGTGATGGAACCTAATGAGGACTGGGGCTAGGCACAAGAACCCTTCTCATCACACAAGTCCAAGAGCAGTCAAGCAAGTCTAATTCCTTGGGCAACTATTAGTTCAGAATCAGCAAGGGTTGTTATGCATTTGGTCCAGATACTTAATGTGGGAAGGGGTTTTCATGAAGGCCTAAGGGAGGAATTCCATTAGTCCAGAAGGCTAAGACTTTCTCAAGTTGGGATCTGTCACTCTCAGCCTTTGTGAGCAAAACAGTGAAGTGAGTGTGAAATGGCTAAATGTATTCCTTGACTCCTGGGCACTTACCACGCACAGCCTTCACAAGGTACAGAACAGGAGAAAATGGATTATGCTCTGAACAACAAGAGACGAGTCATCCGCCTGGTTTTGCAGTGGGCAGCAATGTATGGAGACCTTCTGCAAGATGATGATGTAGCCCTGGCTTTCCTGGAGGTATGCAGGGGCTATTTCTTTCTAGAATTCCTCTTTGTCCTCTGATCCAGGGGCTCCCTGTAGGCATGGCAGCTCTCCTGGAGAGACAGTAATTGCAAACTCTAGACTTTATTAACATGTTCATTCATCAGAAATGTACTCTAAGAAAATTAAAGGAAAATGTTATTCATTGTCCTGCCAAGCTAATTCAATAACTGGTAGCACTTTAATGTATTTTCATTTGGTCTCCTTTTCTTGCTATATTTTCTATATTTGTAATCACACAGTACCCATCATTTTGCAGGCTCCTTAGGCTGCTTTTTCCATTTCTCTTTGTGTAAGGATTTTTTTCTTGTCAGTATAGTCTTTATAGTAAAAATCACTAATGACCCATAAGTAGTTTATATCATGGAAGTATTTATTCCCAATTTTTGGAATATTGATGTCACTGCTAGTTTTCACCTCTCTTGATAATAGTGCAGTGAACATTTTTGCATGTCTGTCCTTGGTTACATTCTTAGAAATGGGATTATGGGACTTCTTGATCAAATACAGGTGTTTTTGAGCAGTGTGAAGAAGCTAATTTTTTTTTTGAAGAATTACTGGGACCACTAGATCGTTTTGAAGGGACATGATTTACATCATAAACCCAGCTTGAAATGGAACATCCCTTCTTCCTATGGCTGCAGCCCCACTTTGCAACATTGACCCCAAAATTTAATCTTTGCTTATTCCATCCTCTAAAATATATCTATGTGAATACATAATGTGTATGCATTAATATATAACATGTAATGCATTATGTACAATGTAAATGGTACCTTATCTCTGTGCTGGCAAAAGGCAAACTGGTTGTTTTAAACTTTTATCAGACTGTATGTTCAAGAATGAATTTTCCAAAGGAAACCTTCCTCCTCTCTGCTTTTTAATTGTATGGCTTGGCAAGCTGGGAGAGAAGTTGGACGAAGAGAGTCCTTCAAGACTGTAGGGATGAAGTATTTTGAAGATTAAAAGGAATAATAGTCACTTGGGTCATCAGTTGACTCATGGCCTCTACCTAGGGATGAACCTCGGTGGTGACCAGTGGCCCGACCACACCTCATCAGCTGTGGCAGCCACTGCCTCTGCACAGAGCAGGCCACACCTGCTGCTGCCTGGTCAGCTCAGACACGGGTCATGGGTTAGTGGCACAGACTCAGCCTCTATTCAGTACCATGCCCAAGACCAGGCCTGCCTCTATCACAACCAGTGGTTAATATTCAGTAACAAATACTAGAGTAGTATTCAAAACCAACATGAATATTCCTCTGAGAAAATACTGAGGTGATAAAAGTACTCTTAAAATACAGATTATAAGATGACCATTTGACAAAAATGGCATTACATTGCTTTCGTATTTGATGTTTTTAAATTTTTGATTGTGATAAAAAGATATCAATCATAAAAATCACCATTTGAACCATTTTCAGTGTTCAGTTCCACAATAGTTGTATTCACAGCATTATACAACCATCACTGCGATTACCAAAACTTTTTCTCATTTAAAATCTGGACTTTAAACATATTGTAATGTTTTCCCTTTTTCTTTCTTTCTCCTGTCCATGAAAACATGGTCTGGAGATGCTAGTGAAGCTGATGACAGAGAAACAGGTCTTTATTGCTTTTTACAGAATTGTATACCTTTTGCGGTTCTGGTTAAAAGCCTGTGACCTTTGCCAATTACAGGAGTTTTATGTGTCTGTATCAGATGATGCCAGGATGATTGCTGCCCTCAAGGAACAAGTGCCTGAATTGGAGAAGATTGTCAAGCAAATGTAAGGAAGGGCTTGGCTTTGGGGGTGTGCTTTTGTCAAGTAAGTGCCTGCCTCTAATCAAAGCATCTTCCCGAAAGTACTTTGCCCCCCAACATGTGAAAGCTGGTTTTTCAGCAGCCACACAGTGTTGTGATTTGAGCAGACAGGACCATAGGCAAAGGTGATACAATGAAGTCAAACAAAAGGGTTGAGACTCTGCTGATCTGCCTTCTCTGCTGGGCAGCCGCCAGAAGAGCACTGGGAGGGAGAATAGCCTTCTCTGGTGTGTCTGACTCAATGAGCTGGGCTCCCTGTGGTTCAAAGCAGTGACTCCAGTAATAAAATGGTCAGTGGCATTTAGGAAAGTTGGAAGGGCCTCGCGAACTGGAAAATTCACTTTCTCCTGCCAAAGTTGTTGACAGTGAATATTTGTGTCCCCTCAGTGAAAACACAAGTTTTCACATGTTGGTCCCTGAGCCATTAATTAGACTCTAGAGAAAGTCCTTGGCACTGTATAGACCCAGAAAGCTACAGGCCCTGGTTTTTGACACCAGTTCTCCTAGGAATCTGCCTTATCTTCGTGTTGTCTGCTGGAGCTTTGGTCTCTTAACATTACAATGAGGAGCTCATCATGCCTCCTGAAGGGGTGCTGAGATTTCGTATCTGACACAAGTTGAAAGTTATATACACAATTTAAAATTAGAACCCAGTGGTATTAAATAATGTGCTTTCTCTATTTCTCGTAGTTCAGAAGATGCAAAGGCACCACAAAAGAAGGTAAGTAGTGGTGGCTTCAAATTCTATAATTGTCTGTGCCCTATAGAATGACAGTTCTCTGGACTTATTATCTTATGATACCTAAAAATACTGTTTTGCTAAATAGAAAATATGTTGTTTTCATCTCTCAACTCTGCTTCCTGGGTACGTTTCCCCTGAGTTGCTAATGTGCAGCAGTCACTCTTCCCTGATAGCAGTTGCTGCTCTTTCTATATCCACAGCACAAAGTTCTCCTGCAACAGTTCAATACCAGCGATGAGCGAGCCCAGAAGCGCCAGCCTGTCCGTGGCTCTGATGAAGGTCAGAATTCTCTCCAACCCCTGACTGTGTTGATTATTTAACATCAGAATAAAATCTCCCCCTTCACCTAAGTCATTACCGTGGACCTACAAAATAGCTTTTGTGGGAGTGCTCTTTTGCATTCAATTATTTATGTTCTTGCACTCTGCCTGGATTGAGGTGCTTGTCTGTACTTTCCGGATCCTGTCTCTCTATGACCATCTTTCGTAGAAGGAGAGAAAGACTCTCAGGGACCTGTTGTCAAGGTTGCCCAACTCTGGGACGAACTGAGGGGAAGGCAGCTGCTGCTCTTCAGGTGTCTTGCAGAGGTGGACCAGGGTCATGTGCAGAGCAGAGCTCCTGCCCCGGGACAGGCTCTGACCCGAGCCCAGCCTCGGCAGCAGCCAGCAGGGACAGGCGGATGCTGGCTGTGAACTCTGGGTGGTTCAAGATTTCTCCAAAGAACTATAACCAAAGAAAAATTAATAAGAAGGGCAAAAGTCTTCATCTTAAGGCACTCTGAATCGTTCCTTCAGAGTGCCTCTAAACCCAAGAATTGCAATTGCTGGAATTTCTTCCAGGATTTGTGTTCTCGGGTGGGCCTTTGGGTGCCTAAGGGCCGGCTGGGCTGAATGAAGGCTGCCTGAGCTAAGTGACCTGGCCCCGAAAGCCAACAAAGTGAGCAGGAATGTCAGCTTCTGTTCACAGCCCCAGGCAGACATGCTGCCATTTACAGATGTGTTGGGAAAATAAAGGTTCAGAGACAAGTGCAGACTTGGGAAATTGGTCTAAACTGACATCTCATATTTTGCCATGATCTCTCTGTGGGGTTTTCACAAATACCTGTTGTTTTCTTAATTGGGAGTGTCAGCCACGTGTGCTGCTAGCCTTAGACCAATGCTTGGGTAGGCAGTTTTAGAAGGAGGACAGGCAGAGCACAAATGTGTACAAACTAATATGATGAATGGCAAGACGGTGCAAATCTGCATAGCTTTTGGCCTTCTGAAGACCACCCCCAGCCTAATTGAGTTGTTACTGCCTTCCCTATAGTCCTGTTTAAGGTCTATTGCCTGGACCACACCTACACAACGATCCGGGTGCCCGTGGCCGCCTCCGTGAAGGAAGTCATCAGCGCTGTTGCCGACAAGCTGGGCTCCGGGGAGGGCCTGGTTATCGTCAAGATGAGTTCCGGAGGAGGTAACAACCTTCCTTAGCACTTTGGGCTTCTGCAAAATGGAATATCCACGTCCCGACCCTTCTCAGCTTATCCAAAGGGACAAATTGGTGTGTGTGACGTGCTGCCATAAAAACATAAATAAAGTGGTTAGAAGCAGGCTGGGCAAGTGTCCAATATCCCCTGTCTGGTGGCACCTTCTCTAAAACAGAAAGGGGTAGGTGGTCCAGGTGAGGGAGCCGGAACAAGGACTGAGGAGTGAGAGTCAGCTGGACTTCTTTCATATAAACCCTAACAAAAAAATGCTTAAGACTTAGGACCTCTAAGAAACATGGACCCTAAGAAGGGATCAGGCTTGACAAGCTAAAGGCCATAGAGCTCCACAAGTCTGAAGTTGGAGATAGCTCTATTCTAGCTGTTTCCAGCTGGTGATGGTTCCCTTCCTCGCCCACTAAGTAAAAGAAGACAGGAACCAGTTCAGTGAGTGGAATGAAGAGTATTCCATTTATTCATTCATTCATCATATATTTTCTGGTAAATGTATAATGACATCTGGAGGGGATGAGTTAGATACAGTCATGTCCCTAAGTTGCTCCCAGGCCTGTAAGGAGGTAGACAGCAAGTTAACAATTACAGTTATGCTACCAGAAGTCCGGGAACAGTCCTCATGCAGCAAGAGCCTACACAAGGAGCTGTGCTTGCGAGCCACTTGAGGAGACTTCAGGGTCACATGGGCCATTGCTACCATATTTATTTAGTTAGTTAGTTAGTTTTAAAGATTTATTTATTTATTCACACAGAACTGGGGTACAGGCCAGAGGTGCAGGGGCCGTGAGACAATTCACCAGGGAGCAGAACAGGCAGATCGATGAAGTACACTGCTGAGGGGCAATAGGCAGGTCAGGGGAGGGAGTCACCTCCGGGGCAGGCGGGGATCAAACTCATGCTGCAGTGGCTTGAGCTTCCCAGTGCTGTGCTTTAACCCGCTGTGCCAGCAGGGAGGGTCAGACTTTATCTTTTTATGAAATTATTTTCTTTTGCATCCGTGTTTGTTTTTGGACAGTTTGATTTCTCCCCTCCAGTGTAGTCCTTGTCGGCTCTCCCACTGCCACAACACCTGTGAACCATCACCACAGTCACCTGTGCTCTTCCCTCCCCTGTTTTTACTTTTCTCCTGCCCCCTCCCTTGCTGTATGCCTCAGCTCTAATGTATAGGATTTTTTTTTAAAGATTTATTTATTTGTACAGAACTGGGGTACAGGCCAGAGATGCGGAAGGTGAGAGGATTCACCAGAGTGGGGAGCAGAACAGGCAGATTGACGAAGTACACTGCTGAGGAGTGCAGTGGGCAGGTCAGGAGAGGTCTGCCTCGCCATGTGGATCTCCTCCAGGCAGGCGGGGATCGAACGCATGCAGAAGAGGCTTAAGCTTCTTTGTGCTGTGATTTAACCTGCTGCACCACCTGGGAGGCCCAGGACTTTTAAATACATGCTGGACTCAGGGTATCCCCTTCCGTTTCTGTCCCAGTCACAGTCACAGTCACACAAGGCCCAGGAATCTGCCCAGGTTGGCCTTTCTGTCACTTTCTTCCTGGAGCTACTTGGGTCTCTTCCTCGCTTCTTTCAGGTCTTTACCCAACATTGATTGTCTCTGAGCCCCTGATTTCCTTCCCCTTGATTTTCTTTCTAAAATTGTATCCTCTCCCTCATACATAAGTTTCCCAGCCTCCTTCCTGCTGTAGTTTTTTCTCCTCGTGACTTCCTGTTCTCTGATATATTATCCTGCTCACTCTCTATGACCCCCACTGTGACAGAGCTTTCCTTTAGATTGGATTTTTTTCTTTATTGTTCCATAATGTATCTTCAATGCCTAGAGCAGTGTCCAGCAATAGTATGAACTAAGTAAAAAAGGATAGAATGAATGAATATTTTAAATAAAGGAGGCTTAATCTAAGTACTGTAATTATCCTTCAAGTTAGGGAATAGTGAAAATAATAACTTTTGCATCGAAAGTCATGTGAGGTCTCAGAACTACTCACCTCTCCCAACCCCACCCCTGTTTTCCAAAAGTGATGTTTCCATCCATAGTGCCTTCTGGAAATGTAATTTGCTGTATAAATAGCTTAGTGTGGGTTTGTGTGTAGTTACAGTTGCAGTGCAAAACTGGCTGCATTGACCCTCGGGTGTCTCCTCTCCTGCTTTGTGGTCATTTCTGATGGCATCCTGCCTGAATGCCATGTCTTTTTTATTCAGAGGGTCCCTTCAGTACTGTATTTTATGCAGTCGCTCTGCATGTTCTAGTAATTCATTGAGCTAGCAATTTGTTGGTGTGATTAGGGCAGTGCAGCAAATCTCAGATGCATTTAATAGGCAATCTCATGCTTTTTATGTTCACAGAAAAGGTGGTGCTCAAACCTAATGATGTTTCAGTATTTACGACGCTCACCATTAACGGACGCCTGTTTGCTTGCCCGCGAGAGCAATTCGATTCACTGGTAGGTGTGGGTGGCCTCCTCAGAGCTGTGTCTGCAATCAGAAAAACTTGTCTGGCGCTTAATTTTGCAGTCACATTGAACATAGTTTCTAAAAAATCTTGAGTACTCCTTGGCTTTTTCTTTTTCGGTCTATTTAGGTAAGCCTCAGGTGTTCATTTGAGATGCTCTGAACTTTAGATTTTCTTTTGTGGAAATTAGCCGTGGGGCATAATATAGCTTTTTGAACTCTTTGTAGTAATTCATGTCCTTGAAATGCCCCCGATTAAATACTAATATGAAAGGTCTGGATACTTAGACCAAGATGGAAGTAATTTTTTCAAGACCAGATAATGGGGTGTGTCATCCTCTTTAGGGGGACATAGTGACGCACTATGGCTGGTCGCTGCAGTCTATGGAAAATAGTTTTGCATAAACTATCCACCGTGTATAAGAAACAGTAGAAGCTAGCGTTCGACCTGACTCTCCAAAACACTTGTTCACAGCCCAAAGAGCTCTCTGTGAATAAGGACTAATTGGCCACACTAACTGAGTAGCCCACGCTCTTTGATTCAGGTGGAGGTAATTGCTGTTTGCGTGAAAGCAGCTTAGATAACCTGTAGGTCCACTGAGAGGCCAGATAAATAACTTGTTCCATTTTTGGAGACACTGCACTAAAAATACAACATAAGAACTAGAGGTAGACTGCATCGCATTCTGGGGGAAGAGTTTAACTTCATAAATGATGCCTGAACACATTCAAGTTCAATCAAACCAGACATTAGAAAATCAAGAATCAGTTTAAAATTCTGCTTTATCTTGTGGAAATATCATTAAAATTCTTTTTTTTTTTTTTTTTTTTGCTTGGGGGGAGACATTTGGTGTAGACCAGTGTAGTTAAAGGTCTTTTCCAGTATCTTGAACTCACTTGGAATGGATTTTTTTTTTAAGATTTATTTATTTATTTATTTATACTTACAGAACTGGGATAGGGTACAGGCAGAGGTGTAGTGAGTGAGAGGATTCACCAGAGACAGAGTGGGGAGCAGAACAGGCTGACTGATGAAGTACACTGCTGAGGGGAGCAGTGGCCAGGTCAGGAGCGGTCTGTTGCGCCATGTGGGTCAGCTCCCTGGCGGAGGATCAAACTCGTGCTGCAGTGCAGCAGAGAGCTTCATAATGCAGTGCTTTAACCCATTGTGCCACCAGAGAGAACCCTGGAGTGGATCTTATCTAAGGTGTTAGTTCTCCTCCTCATCCCGTGTCCATCTCAGCCTATGAGCACCTGGCCTTTCCTCAACCGCCAGGGTCTGCTCACAGTCTGTTTTATATATATATATATATATATAGTCCTCTATACTCATTGCTTTCTGAGAAGTAAATATGTCTCACCATGGAGGGCTTGGGGGAGAAAACATACAAATGAGTCATGCTGCCCTCCTCTGGGAGGAAAAGCCCCCAGAAGTGGCATAGTTAGTTGGAGGTGCCAGGTGATGCTTTGCCACATGGGCCGGCAGGTTCTTGGCTGCAGTGAGCATGACGTGATGACATGGTGTAGCAGATGGAGACTGCGGCTGTCTCAAGCTCCCTGTGGGGCAGATGCTGACTTTTAAGCCTCTGTTTATTGGTATATTACCCTGCAGATTGACAAGTTCACAGTTCTCGCTAGTCTTCCATTTTAAGACTTCAAGGATTGAAAGGACTTTACTTTGTGGCAAGTACATAGGACATGAACTTGTTTAACTTCTCTCTGGGTCCTGGCAGTTCTCTGAGCTGCAAGTTATGTCCTCATACTCAGGAGTGGCTGAACTTTACCTCTTAAAATCTAATCTCACCAAATGATAAAACAGAACTTTCTTGACTTTCTAAAGATTTCTTTGAGTGATGTCCTTCTAGGAGGAGTGGGGCGCAGGATGACTCTGCAGTGTGGGATGGTGGCCAAACCCTTTGATCCATCCATACATACTTAAGAAGTGTGCTCATGTGGGGCTCGCATCTATCTACCCGGAGACCAGTGTCCTGGAGCTTCTGTCTGGATGACAACTACCATCAAATTAGGAGATGAGAGCAATCTAGAACTGAAAGACTGTAGCACTGAATTGTGTTGCCTAACATGATTAAAGAGTCAGCATTTTATTCTGGTTGGATAAGGACTCCCATTCTGGAGTTTCACTCTCAACATTTTATTAAAGCATCAATGTTAGTACAGAGCAAGTTACACTAAGATCTCATTGACTATAATTTGGTTCTACTCGTATCCATTTATTGATTCCTTATACTCTTTATTTAGTGCCTACTTTACCATTCCAGCCATTTGCAGATGGTTCTGGATCTGGGATGATCTTAAATACATATCCATCATGGCCCTTGTGCCTCAAGGAAGTCAATAATGGGCCCCAGAGTGTAATGAGAGATTCTACTACAGAACTGGGCACAGAGGCATGAGAGTCAAGGAAGGGGGTGTGTAAGGGGAGCAGTTCACCTTAGCCAGTTCCTTGCTGCTGAATATCAGCATATCCTTTTTATGTCTTAGTTTTCTCATCTGGAAAAAAATGGGGGAGTAACAATTCTAGTCCTCTAATCATCCCTATCTAGGCTTACGAAGAAACTTGCTTTCAGGAAGAACAGAGTCTATGGGAGTTCTGAGTCTCTGGAAAACAGCCTTCAGATTTGTCTTGCAGATGCCACAGGAGCTCTGCTATGACTCTTCTGTAGGAAATTTCCACAGGCTTATCTATAAGAAAATGGCCCAAGGAGGTGCCTCCTCTAGGACCCAAGTTTGGTGTGTAATTCTGCTACTTGAGATAAAGGAGCACTTCACTGCTCAGGTGGCCTCTTCGGCACCTCCTGGAGGAAGGGTCAGCTGCCATTGCCAGGGAGGAAGGAAGCTTGACAAGCCCTACCCACTTAAACGCAAAAGCAGAGATTTCAGAGAATTCTCAGTTATGCCCGTAAATGGGATGCAGGACTATTCAACCAGCCATTATGACTGTAAGAATTCATATTTCTTAATATTGGCATTTTCCTATAGTTGTTGGATTCATTTATTCCTTCTGTGAAAGACCATGCAGTCTCAAGGAAAGGAGATAGAGAACTAGGTAGGCTGAGAAAAGAGCAAACCTGAAGAATAAAATAAGGGGCAAAGCATAGAGTGGGAGTGGGGGTGAGGGAGCAGAGGGATGTGTCTATAATAGCAGCTGCAGGGCAGAAGACTGTAGAGAGCCACTCTGTATCAAGAGTGAGCCCTTGAAGCCAGTGTTGAAAAACTTCACCAACTCTTCTATCCAAGACCTACCCTGCCTGAATCCATTCTCTGCCAGTTTCCAGAAGCTGCCTGTTCATCAACTTTAAGTTGGTTTCCTTAGCTTCAAAGCTGTAATACTTGCTTTTCTATCCTGCTTTCTGTGTCCTGCATAGGGTGAATCAAGCACGGTGGTTCATAGTGCCTACATCCAGGGCCTGCACCGGATAACATAATTTTTTCTAATGTGCTTTTGCTTGGGAGGGCCCAAAAGGTTAAGGTCAGCTTCTTCACTGTAACTTCTCAAAACAGTTCACTCAGACCTCCCTCACCTCAGTCTTAAGTTGAGAGGGAAATTTAGCAAAACCTGTATTGGAGGGAACTAATACAAGCGTGTGGGGCCCACTGGTGGTACCAGGAACTGATTTCCTTGTATTAAGTGCAGTTCATGTATTTCTAATAAGATGACTTTCCAGAAAGTGAAATTTTTTTATGTTCTGACTTTGAAAGGTGAAATATAAATAAATTTCATAATTTATCAAAAAAAAAAAAAAGAGAGAGAGAAGAGAACCCCATAGGTCACACTGAAACTTGCTTGCCAGGGTCTGCGTTTTTCACTCATGAAACTGATGATAGTAACAGTGATGGCTACAAAGGTGTCACTGAAACAAGAGAGCTTTAAGAGTAAGCACATTTTTTTCTGCTGGATAAAAAAATCAAAGTTTCAAAATTCTCCTGAAGGCATTTCCAGAATCCTTTCCCCTTAAAGCATTCACGTACTTGTCTGTTCTGAGATTCTTGTATGTTTTTGCATTCTTATTCATAGACTCCCTTGCCAGAACAGGAAGGCCCAACTGTAGGAACAGTGGGAACTTTTGAACTGATGAGCTCCAAAGATTTAGCATACCAGATGACGATTTATGACTGGGAACTCTTCAACTGTGTGCATGAGGTAAGGGACTGGATTGGGAGCATTCGTAAGCACCATCGCAATTCTGGATGAAATCTGCTGCCTTGCTCAACTGTAAATGTTAATATGTGCTGCAGTGTGGAGGCCACATGATGATGTGTTAAATGCTGAATTTATTAATAAAGCCTATTATAAAGCCTTTGAGTTTTAAGGAAAAAAAAAAGTAGGATTTACAATAAACCATGTCTTCCTGAGTCAGGGTCAAGAACTACACCTCACTTGTGTTAACAAACCTCTTTGAAGCCCCTCAGAATGTAGCACAGGTTGGATTGTGGTCAGTGATGATAGCCACGTTTGCTTACTGCTGTACGTTTGTCTTGACAAATAGAGAAATGTAGCTGATGTTTTGATTTCAAAACAAAGAAGTGCATTTGTTTTCCTTTCTCTTCTAGCTGGAGCTAATCTATCACACATTTGGAAGGCATAATTTTAAAAGGACCACAGCAAACTTGGATTTGTTCCTGAGGCGATTTAATGAAATTCAGTTTTGGGTTGTCACTGAGATCTGCCTTTGTTCCCAGCTCAGCAAACGTGTTCAGCTCTTAAAAAAATTTATTAAGATTGCAGCCCAGTAAGTATCATTAACTTGGAAAAGGAAAAATGTTTCAGCTGCAATTTCATTTTGTTCCCTTAGACTACCTTAAAAAGAAAAGCAAGATAGAAAATCGCTTTGAGTACAAGAACCAAACACAGGGGCTTAAGAAAAACCGGTCTGGCAAAAGAGGGATTTTGCCGAGTTTTTTTACATCAATATATAAATTAATAGATTACAGCGCTGATGCTAGAGTCAAAATTGTGATCTTTTGTTTTGAACTATGCAGATTTTGTGCCTCCTTCAGTTTAAAGAGTCCTTCAGCTAAGTTCTCCTGCAGAAAGTTGTTTAAAAGGCTCCTTAACGGCCAGCATATAACACATTCCCGCCAGTAGAGGGCAGTGGGAACACACAAGAACAAGAGCACACTCAACACTACCGGAATACAATCGGTGAAAGGCATGAAGGCGAGCTAACCTGGTATATGAAAATCATCTCCATAAACATCAGAAAAAGCAAGCATCTTATAAATATTCTATTTTACAGCACTTTATGGGAAACAATTTATTTACTACAGAGGCCAGTTAGATTTCTCCCTGACATGAATTTAATCTTCTTCTGCTATTTAGATATGCCTGACAACCTCCTGTTTACTTCCATGTTTTTGGTATCACCACAGTGCTAAAAATAAAATGCTAAATGCGGCTCATGGCTGGGAGACTTCTTTCCTTTCTAAATGCGGGGAGCTGTAGCATAGGAAGGTGGAGAGCACAAGTGACCGACCCCAGCTAGGCAATTTTCTTGAACCAAGTAGTTTATATCCCATACAGAGGCTGATTTCCAGAGCTAAACAAAGAAGTAAATGCTGCTTGACATTTTACACATAGAAGCTTGCCAAATGCCTTGAATTATTTTGCCAAAAATTTGAGGGCTTCACAGTATATCCAAATCCTTTGTACTCAAATGCTGGTATCACTTAATTGGGAAAAGCTGCCTTTTGGAAGAAAGATTTGGTAAAATCGTTACATATGAATTTCTGGTTCAGAGGGCACCACACTTTCCCTAGGAGACTAAGCTGCCTTGTTACAAGGGACAAATGCCTGCACATATTTAGAAGGAGATGATTGTGGAAACTGGGAAAATATGTGCTTTCCCATTATAAGGAGTGCACTCTCTTCACCTTCCCCTGGGTTGTAAGTGCAACAAGAATGTCAATCTGCACAGATATGTGGGAGCCAGAAGACCTTGGGGGATTTGCTCCTGTGCATTCACAGGGGAACCACAAGGAGCGGCTTTCAAAAACTCATCAATTTTTAAAAAATGTTTGTGCCTTTCTTACATCTTTTCCTTATGATTATGTGAATGAACGAGTGGATTGGCTTTGGTATGAGCTGGTTTACATTCTTTAACTGTTATTAAGCTGTGCTGCTTACACAGGCTGTCTGGAAAAGATTGTGGGCTTTTATAAACGAAGGTCTGCAAGAATGAGATCTAAACCTAGTGGCAATAGCATGTTGTACATGGTATTTTTTGTTGTTGTTTTGGTAACTTTAATGGATTCTAAGCAAGCTGTTTACCTGCCCAGAACTTGAGAAGCTAAGCCCCAAATGTGTGACCACCCTCACTTACAGATGAGGAGACCTAGACAGAGGCATTTCCTATCTTACCAAGGGTAATGAAATTAGTTTGTAACAGTGACCAGGAAGAAAGGTCTTGAACCCTGCGCATTTATTTTCAAGATCACATAACAGGACAAAGGCAAACATATAACATAATCACACTCACTGCCTCAGCCCGGTGGGTGCCTGAACATGCTTTCAACCTCTTACCTTCCAGCCTCTGCCCACGCTCAGCAAAGACCTCCCTGCTTCTCACCAGTAGGATCAGACACTATAACTTTCCTGAAAACAATTCTCCCCTTTCCATACAGACAATCTAAAAATCACTCATTGCTGCCTCTGTAAAGAGAACACAGGCAGTAAATGCAACAATTTAATTAGCCTTTTACAAAAATGTTAATCCAAGCAGCATTTAATTATTATGTAGTCAACTTAACCATATTGATTCGGGAGATAAAAGGTTTGAGCTTATTGCAGTGAGTTCTTCTTTCTCTTTTCAAGAAGCTGTTGGTTTTTTTTTTGGTTTTTTTTTTTTTTGTTGTTGTTGTTTAATTAAACCCAATGCTAGGCTCCACATCACCAGTCTAATAAAAATTTTTGTCTTGTTACATCTTATTGCCTAATAGATTTTCATAAAAACTAGTAATGGCATAAGTACAAATACAAAATCATCATCTCATCAGCATCAGAAAGACACAGAGAAAATAAGGTTCTTCTTTGGTCAATTGTTTAGGTTATTTTGCAGTTTCAAACTCCTTGAGACCATTTGGATCATGACTTGTAAACTGCTATTTTTCAACAAATGAAAGGCCTTTCGGTGTTGGTGGAAGCTCTGGAGGCTGCCACAGAGGGAGTTCCTCAGTTCCTTCTCAAGCTGCCGGAGGCATTCTATCCTGTCTGGAAGTAGGCAAGGACATTTCTCCCTTCCCACACCAGGAAATGTTTCGCTCCAGGCCCGACAAGACTTTTAGCAAGCTCTGGGTTTACCTTAACAATCCCAGGGTAGAGGTCTTTAAATTCCCTCTCAAAACCTGAACCCTGATGACCAAAAACATCACCTTTCTCCAACTGCAGAGAGAAATCAACTGCAGAACGTGGTCACCCATGTGGAACTTACACAGTGCATTAAATCTGTCATTGCCTGTTCTCATAAAGGAGTCCTGGCGAATATTAATGACGATCAGAAAATAGAGCTCTAATTTTTTTTTTAAATCTCACTCAAAAGTAGCCTTTTACTCAAACATGTGCCTCTTGTGTTTCAGCTGTAAGGAGTACAAAAATCTGAATTCCTTTTTTGCCATCGTCATGGGACTAAGTAATGTCGCTGTGAGCCGCTTGGCACTAACGTGGGAGGTAAGCTTAGCTGAGATCCAGCTGTGACTTTTGCCTGAAGAATAAAAACATAGGCTCACCAGCAGGCTTTTTAATAGAAATATCACTCACATTCATATAACAATGGGAAAGGTGGGGCACTTTGACGGAGGTGACCTGCCACCTTTTTCTAGTTGCTTCCGAGTGTGAATTTTAAAAGATACTGTCCTTTTGTGTGTGGAGGACAGGAGGTGTGAAGGGGACTCGCTAGTGGTATGCAATGTAAATAATAATAAGGCATTTCCTAGATGTATCAGGAATCAGCAGCATTGCTTGAATGACTTCAAAGCTTTTGCTCATAGATGCTATTGTTCTTTGGAATGTCTGCTTATTGCTTTTTCAATAAACCTAATCTATAATTAAGCAAGAACAGAAGATCCATTTTTGTCCAAGAAGTCATTTTGCTTCTCAGAGAATTAGCCAGAAGGCCAACTGTTTGGCCCAGCTGAATGCTACGTATCTCTTAACTGCCTGGCAGACCTCTCTGAACAGAGGAACAACTGTTGGCTCATATTCAGCTTGGGGCCAAAGTTATGCAGGTGTGTTGTGAATGTCTATAGTAAATATCATTAGCGGTTTGTTGGTGGCTGGTTATTTGTGTTAGAGACCGTCTTCTTTCTTCATTAGCTAAGTAATCAGAAATGTGCCTGACGCCTTTACGTGTGGTATATCGTCGAAGAAATACTAATCTCTAATAGAACATGCACACAAAAATAGACTCTTGCTAAAAATAAAAATGTATGTGTAAGTGGAACACAAAAAGAGAGCAAGGAGAAGTCAACAGACTTAATTAGCAATGGTGCTTAAAGACAGCTGTTTGCATCTCCAAGTGTTTTCCTTGAAACCTCTTCCTTTCTTACTTTCCTTTTGAAACTGATTTCTTTCTCAGTCCCTCCTAAATGTTTCCATTGTTTATAGGGCAGGTCCTCACAAGTCCTCCTGTCTTGGATTTCTCTTAAAATTCCAGGCAGATGCAGCACAGAGCAGCTCATCCCCTGAATATAGGAATGAAGGAAGTGGGGAGGCCTGCGTGCCACGCAGCTGTATCATCTTGCAGCTAGTAAAAGCGCAGAGTTAGTGCAGCCAGTGACTGAGCAGTGAAACCCAATGCAGGCTCGTCTTACAGCCCTAGGCCCTCGGAGGGCCTGGAGACCCTAGTGTTCCCTCCCCTGTAGTCTGTTCTCCCCAGCCTGCTCCCAGCTAGCTTCTCATGGCCCTGGCCCTCAGCCCAAATGAGTTGGTTGGGAAAATCAAAGAAGATTCCAAGACCCATTTGAATCCAGGAAGTCCAGGCATAGGAACCCCATTACCAGGAAGGCTATGGCACGTGGGAAACACTGTTGGAGTCCTCTTCCCTCATCAGGAGAGAAAATGAGTCTTCTGCTTGGGATACAAGCAGTAAAGAGAGAGAGTGAATGATCCCATCGTTCAGTTTCACTGGGAATTGAAGTCCATCCTCTGTGAGCTTCTGTTTTCACCTCATATGTTGCTGAAAAGAGCAGATTAAACTTTTGTCATTTATAACCTTTTTTTTTTTAAGGTGACATATGATTTTACTGCCCTATAGGGAGAATTTTCATTCAGAAGCATTTTTGGTTTTGGCTTCTCTTCTTCCTTTTGCCCCCACCAGCCTCCCAGTGGCCTTGCACACAGCTCCATCAGCTGCCCGTGCAGGGAGGGGCCGGAGTCAGTCTGTGAAACTGGCGAAGAACCAAACAAAATATAGTTAAAGCACAGGACAAAAGGAGAGATCCAATGCAGAGGGGAAGACTAATCTGAGATCAAGCAAATGGGAGTAATAGCCTAGAGCATAGTTTCTGGGTTAGGCAATATTGCTACTTGGGGCAGGCTAACGGGTGGATGTGGTTGACTGTCCTGTGCAAGGCAAGAGGCTGGGCGGAAGCCCTGGTCTCTACTAACTTCTCACTCCATCCATTTCACCCCACCCTAGCTGTGACAGCCAAATATGCCTGCAGGCATTGCAAATATTCCCTGGGGGGTGGGGGGACAGGTGAGATGGTGCTCAGATGAGAACCACTGCCATGAAAATGAGGTATAGATGGATAATAGTATTAAGACCCATTAAAATTTTGATTAACGTGCCCTCCTGCCTTTGACCCAAAATCCAGCAAAGAAAAGAAAGAGACCTAGAGTGACAGGTCTAACTAAATATAATTCAGTCCTAATTTCAATAGTGGCCTATGTTCATGGAAAGTTATTACCTAACATGCTGATATAGCTATTCCTCCTGCAATGAGGTCCTTGATGCCCTTGCCAGCTTTGGTGCCTCTGAACATTCCTTCTGTAAGATTATCAGGTTTCCCTAAAACTTAACATGCAAGTAGGTACTAGAAAATTATTTGGAAGGACATTAGAAGACTAGTTCCTAAAATTAAAAGGTTTTTTTACAGATAAGTAAATAGAAATAATATAAACTTATCCTGATATGCGAGAGAGAAGAGAGGAACTTTTCTGTGAATCAGAGCTACCTCCTTGGTGAATCCATTGTTCTGACTTCCTGTGAGAAGCAGAGCTGAGTTGGGGGTTCCTGGAGCCCTTCCAGTCTTTGCAAGGAAACACATGATTCTGCTCTGTGTCAGAGTGGCCCTGTCTGGAGAGAAAAGTTCAGCTTTACTAAAAGCTCAGGACCTATGCAAAATGATCAAAAATGTTTTAATATTGTCCTACCATTGTCAATATATGGATCTCATCAGTGGGGCTGAATCAGAATATGATCATGAGAAAATTCTATATTGGTAGAACTCATTTTGTGTAATATAGCAGGGCAGAGCAATCATGTGGGAGAAATACCCAGTGTAGAAAAGCATGGGCTATATTCTTTTTTCTAAATTTCTAATTGTGGCCATCACAGAGCTTAAAGAGAGAGGGGGGCTTGCTTCCAAACTACTTGTAATCCAGGGAAGCAGTCCATTCCATGAATAATCCATTTCAGAAAATTTTTATTAAAAAGACCAAGCATCTGTAGTTACTTTTGGTTCAACTAGGTTAAGTCTTTAAAAAAGGCAAGTTTTCTATATTCCAGAAGATTTTCCTCAAATGACAAGAAAGATTACAGCCTGGCCTGTCTCAGAGATGTTTGATTAAGAGCCAAAAGAAATACATTTCCCCTAAAAGGGTACCACATGACACATATCTAGATATCGAATCTGACATCCGCATGTGGCATTTCCATTTCATTAACAGAAACTGCCAAGCAAGTTCAAGAAGTTCTATGCGGAGTTTGAAAGTTTAATGGTAAGTGGCAGTGGCTTCTTTATTCTGTTCACTGTCTGCATTAATCCAATTTCTGATTAGCTGAATTGAAGTTCTCATTTCAGAAATTTTATCTGTCCTTGTATGACTTTAAGGAGTTTATGATCCCGTTTTAGTGCTGCTAAAACAAGCATGTCTGACTAATGAATGGCACCCTCAGGAACTAACTTAAAGAGGACTTATGTCCCACATAAGGTCAATTTGTGTAACTAAGAAAAGCAGTGTAATAGGGTCCTTCCCGTCTAACACAGGTTGGCTATGGGCTGGAAGTTGCATTTCCCTCGGCTTGCCAAAATTATTTTTCCCCATTGGCAGGGAGGTGTTAAAGACAAAAAAGGAGTGAGTGGGGCTTGACAGGAGTGAGGGGAAGGTGTCCAGGAGGGCACGCCAAGATGGGCTGTGCTACGCAGCGAGGAGGTGTGGCTTCAGGAAAAGCGGACTTGCAACATCCGGGATATTCTATCCGCTTTGAAGTAGCTCTCGGTGCCTTCCGCTTCCTGGAGGGAAAACTCCCTTTCAAGCAAAACAAAATAACAAAAGTCAAATTATTTCACTCATATTTGAAACTGTCTTGAAGCGTGACTCGGTTTGTTTGACTAAGTCTACCTGTCTTTTGTAGCTCTGTTTGATTCAAAACTACTGGGTTGTGGATGACAAGGCTGGGTATGCTGGGAGGGGGAGGAAGTAGTGTAGATCACTGGCCGTTGACTGGCACCTCTTTGTTTCTCTAAAGGATCCTTCAAGAAACCACAGGACCTACAGGCTGACGGTGGCCAAGCTGGAGCCTCCACTCATCCCCTTCATGCCTTTGCTCATTAAAGGTAATTCGAAGAAAATGTGCAGTCCAAGCAAGTGATGAGTATGTCTGGAAGAAAATGAGCAAGTACCCAATCAGACTGTTGTCTTTGGGAAGAATAATCCATCCTTCCACCTATGTCGTAGACTCCTCCCAGTTCTGACTTTTCGGAAAGGGTGGGAAGATTATTGCAGGAACAGGAATCCATGATTTGGAAGACTTGATAGTGAAACAGAGACTTGCTTTGGAAATTTTACTAATCTCAAGTAAAGTGCTTTAGAAAGTTAAACACCTAATATGAAAGGAACTATTATCAGCTTTTTTCAACTGCAGTGTTATGCAAATCTTCCAGCATAATCTAATGGTGCTATTGTGCTTTCTTAGTATGACATATTTCTGTTAGTGATTAGAATGTGACTTTTATTTCTTTGCAGATATGACATTTACTCATGAGGGGAACAAGACATTCATTGACAATCTAGTAAACTTTGAAAAAATGGTATGTATAGTATTATAACTCGAACCTCAATTTTTTTTAAATAAAATTTGCATTTGTACTAATAAAGGAAATAATTTCCACAGGTGCTGCCATGTTAAAAAAGGTAGTTACACATAAAGGAGTTTTGAAATATTTGGTTCAAATTGGCTACCTGTTTTATTCTGTCAGTTCTCTTTTGTGATACTGAATACTATTTGTGCTGCAGCTCACAGCAGCCTCAAGCTTTTATTGTGTGTGTGTGTGTACTCTCTGGCTGCCTGTTGCTAAAATGCATGGATGTTCCAGAGTAACTTCCATATTGGTGTTTTGTTGTTGGGTTTGTGGCCCTAGACTGCAGCAGGATGCCTTTGAAATATTTATCTGCTGAGTCTGACTTGAGTGCATGTAGGTAAAAGTCAACTGCATTGCAGATCTTTATTGTGGAGTATTAGTCTAAATGTATGATGCTTATTCCAATGAAGTTCATCCAGGTTCACAGAGGGAACTTGAAAATCTTCATAACCACAAAAAAATTTGTTTTAACAACAGATGTAGAGCTGGCACACAGTCAGTATTTTCCAGAACACTCTCCTTTCCCCCACCCCCACCCAAAAGCTGTGTTATTGACATTACTTTGCACTTTATTTTCTTATCACCTATGAAGCAATAAAGCAGGTCATGCCAAAACCTTTCTTTAGCTACATAGGGCATGTTAGTGGAATGCTCCATTGTCTTCTAAATCCCCAGGCTGTGGCTGGGTGGATTCTTTCTCAGCAATCTCACAGTGCTGTCTCTGTATGGGTAAGCATCTGTGCAGGGTTATGGCTTACAGTGGCAAGGTGGCACTCTCAGACAAGCCTGGGGCTTGGGCCCCAGGAGACATGAGGCCCAGTTCTCAGCTTCATCATGTTGTAGCTGTCCCTTCGCTTCGCTGAGTCCCTTTCCTCAAGAGGAGGTGCAGTTTAGGCTGCAACGTCTACCTTTCGGGGATTATGGGTATAATATTGAAGTTTTCCTGTAAACCATGGAATTCTTATCAGAAAACTGTTGTAATTTTGTCTTGAAATCAAGCTATCATGGATGATTCTAGGAGAATCTGAATCGCCCCTCAGTGATCCTATAAAGATCACACCATTCCACTTTGGGAATGAGCTTATTGCAAAGTGCAGGTTGGTGAGTGGGCACAGTGATTGCTGGCAGTAGATTCGCATGTCCTAAGCTTCTTAGGAAACAGCACATGAGTCTACTCCTCAAAGACACTCTATACTAGGGGTCAAATTCTTTCTCAGCAATCTTCTCCTCCACAGGGTGTGGGCATCATTATTAGTGTCTCAGTTTAATAATTCTTTGATCAAAGTAGAAAATATACTTTTTCACATATTAGTATGGAGAATTAAACATATTTTGCTGTCTTTCAAAAGAAAGCCTGTTTCTCAGAAATGAAAGACTTAGCAAATAGGTTTAAGAAAAAAACCTTCTGGATTACTCAGGCAGATATTCAGATGGCGGGGGGAGTGGCTAAGTCAACCACTTGGCTATAAAGTATACTTGTGCATAGAGGCATATCAATTGGGGTTTCCTAAAGAGAATGTTTGATCATTAAAATTAAACAAAGCAAACAAGAATAGCAAAGTTATCTGTCAAGGAGGATGAAAGTTGTTTAACCAGGTTTCTAAATCTTGATGTCTGCAATGGAAAAGTCAAAATCATACTCAGTGGAGGGCTCTCCCCAGTGGCACAATGGGTTAAACACCACATTATGAAGCTCTCTGAAGCCACTGCAGCACGAGTTCGATCCCTGGCCAAGGAGCCGACCCACATGGCATGGCAGACCTCTTCTGACACAACCACTGCGCCCCTCAGTGGTGTACTTTGTCAGTCTGCTTGTTCTGCTCCCCGCTCTGTCTCTGGTGAATCCTCTCACCCACCACACTTCTGTACCCCAGTTCTGTAAGCATAAATAAATCTTTAAAAAAAAAAAAAAAGAATTATACTCAGTGGAGCTCAGAGTCCCCCTTCCACAGCTTCTGTCCCACCAGGATCGATTCTTACATGCCTTGCATTAAGTAGAGGTCCCTGCACCTTGCTCTCAGAAAGAGTTTACTTTTGCTTCAAAGCAACTGAGTGGTTAAGATAGTAGTTCAGATGCAGTAGTAGAAACCTTACTTAAAAATGACTTAAGCGGGGTGATTTGGTGATGGGAAACCCGTGGGGATTACAATTGAGATGAAAAAAAAAATGTGAAAAATGATGTAAAAATAAACTTTTTAATAAAAAAAATAAAAAAAAATAGAAAGATCAAAAAAAAAAAAAATGACTTAAGCGGCCCTCCCTGGTGGCTCAGTGGGTTAAAGCACTGCACTGAGAATCTAAAGCCACTTCCCCATGAGTTCGATTCCCGCCTGCCCCGGAGGTGACCACATGGTGTGGCAGACCTCTCCTGACCCGCCTGCTGCTCCACTCAGCAGTGTACTTCGTCGATCTGCCTGTTCTGCTCCCCACTCTGTCTCTGGTGAAGCCTCTCACCTCCCCTGTACCTCTGGCCTGTACCCCAGTTCTGTATGTATAAATAAATAAATCTTTAAAAAAAAATGACAAGCAAGGAAAGTTTATTTCTGTCATATTTTGAAAGTCCACGTGAATTGGTAGCTCCACTCCGGGCAGTAACCAAAGTTCCAGGCTTCCCCTCTCCTGACACGTCACCATCCTCATGGTCCAAGATGGCAGACCGCCATGTCCCCATTCCAGCCAGAGGGAATGGGGTAGGGAAAAGGTGAAGACATACTTTTTCCTGTTAGGACTGTGCCCTGGAGTTGCACTCACCAATGGACTGAAACTTAGTCACATGAAAGAAAAGTTAGGATAGGAAACCCTTTTTGGAGGGTTCCCTGGGCCCACTAAGGCTCGTGGTTCTATGACTGTGAAAGAGAAGGGCATGGTAGAGCTACAGGAGTACTGTCAGCTCTGCTCCAGTGAGCACAGCTGTATTTCATTTGATAAGCCGTATCATGACAGACTGTAGCTCACAGATGTCCTTCCATGAGTTAGATGTTACTGGGAAAAGAAAGAGACGTTCAGAAAGTTTTGCTCATATTTTCTAAGCCTGACTTTGACCAACCTGGCCCTTGATGCCATATTCCCATACTTTCCTCCAGCCTGCCCTCTGCCTCCACACCTGCCCCTTGGGATTCCCACTCCCACAGCAGTAGTGCTGTGTTTCATGAGGGGAGGATACGTCTTCCTCTCAGCTCTTTTCAGTCGCTCACCAGCAAGGCCAAGGTGGTGAGCAGAGCTGGCAGCTTTTCTGGGGCCTCTTGGTTGTATCCCCAGAAGGAGCCCCTGCCAAGGGCAGAATTCACCAGGGTAGCCAGGGGCACAGATGCCTCTTCTTGGTGTCAGCATTACATAGTCAGAGCAAACCACTGTGCCAAACCTAAGTACTTTTATTTTGAACCTCTTCACCCTTGAGGTAGGAAATGAGGATTAGAGCATTCGTTGCATATTGGTTTTCAGGATTTATGAGTATGGACAAAAGAGAATTCACACTCTGAGCCTTATGCAAAATTTTCAAAAAAGCAGACATTCTTTCATTTGGGGGGAGCATAAAGGAGTATTCAAAAAAATGTTTGAATAAAGCCCTTTGTAGCTTTCTGTGGCATACATGAATATTTATAACATTTAGGAGGTAGACTAGCAGTGGATTAGAGGATAATATGCTGGCCCACTGCCACTATCCCAGGCTGCATAAAACATGCCGGTGCCACAGTTGCTACTGTATTAGGAGGTTGGTTCTATTTCAGACATTACCATATTTAGGCGTGGTTTATTTACGAATATTATTTTTAAGATAGTCTTTTTATTTGGAATGAGAAGCATGGGGCAAGCTTCTATAATTCTGGAAACACTAACAGAAGCTAATTTATTAAGAAAGAGAAATGTTTTCAATCCCCTTATTTTTTATCACTAGTCATGTCATTACATAATTAGCAACAATATGTCTTCTATCACCAACAATATTATTACAAGACTAAGACTCATGGAGCGTACTGGATTGTTAACTCAAGCTATGGGGAAAAAGCAGTTTCCAAGTGCAAATCTTGTTGCTAAATCCACCCAATTTCCAGACCTTTCCAATCAAACAGAAGTCTGCAAGAGCATTTTGAAAGTTCCCGCCCTCATCTAGAATTTATAAACTAGGTTAAGTGCAGGTTTTCTAAAGGGCATGTTTCACAGCAATGCAGCATGTGTAGATGTGTAGACTGCACAATCAAAGAGTTTCACTGGAAATTGAAATCAAAAATATATTTCTTGACCATTAGTATTCAGTTGAGAAGATAAACCATAAATATGTGAAATATTAAACATCAACAGAAGATCTAAAAACTAGCTCACGCTAGAGATGTCAGAAAGCAAAGTGTGGAGAGGTAATTTTGTGGAGCTGGATCAGAGGAAAACAAAACCATAATAAATACGACAGCATAGTATAATCAAATCCAGACTTGTTACCCTGAGCACCTGGCCAGCCTTGCCTCCCTGTTATCTCTGTTCCAGTTTGAGTTGCTGAACTTGTCTTCCTTTTCTTTAACTGTCTGCCTCAGGGCCTTTGCATTAGCTGTTACCTTTGCCTGAAATCGTCTTTCCCCTAATTTTTACCTGTCTAGCTCCTTCTCATTCTGTTCTCAGCTCATGTGTCCCCTCCTCTGAGTGGTGTTCCCTGACCATCCTTCAAACATCTTTCTATCCTTAAAACCAAGTGCTCTCCAGAAAATAAGCTTGCCTTGATAGCAGCTTTCTCGATCTGAAATGATCTTCTCTATTTACCTCTTCATTGTCTGTCTTCCCCACTAGAATATAAATGTAAATGTCCTAGCCCGAGTACTCATCTACTTTGCCCACTGAGGTTTCTCCAGTGGCCATAGAAGTGTCTGGCACTAAGTAAATACTAAATATTTTTGAGTAAAAGAATAACCCAATCATATTCCACTGTTGGGCTTCGTAAGATAGGACAGTACACTGCAGTT